CACCTTTGTCGGTATCTTTACCGTCCTGCATGGGCTCGCCGCGGAGCTGCACCAGAAATTCAGCGAAATGCAGTTCCCGACCGTCTTGCCCGAGGACTTGTCCGGCCGCGTCGACTTGCACCTCTCGGAAAAGAATGGCAGGCACGCCCGGTCGACTGTTTGGACTCCGTAAGGAAAACAAAGGTTTACTTGTGCCCACAAAATCAGACTTTCTTTCTTCGACATGAACCAGTTGCAATCGATTTCTCGCTGCTCGACTCTGAAATGCAGGTTCTTCAACAATGGTGCATCTGGTCATCCAATACTTTGTTCGCAGCACAGCCACGAAGCGGTCAGCCGCGTCCATGTCCGTGATCGGTTCTTGCCATCCAGAGGCTTGCATAAGTTGATCTATTTGGTCCGTCCAGAACTTGACTTCCACCGTAGCTGTGTGATCACTGACGTGCAAAAGTCCACTGTAGCAAGGGCGGGTTGCCCCTCCATGGCTGCAGGCAGCATCTCGCTTGTGACAAACAGAGCAGCCCACATACGTCCAGAGATCCCCCCCAGAAGCGGTAATGTCTAGGATCATCGAGCACGGTAATTCCCACACGTCGTCTGGAGTCGTCTTCAGGAGGCCTTTTTCTGGGATGAACTCTGCCAGAGTGCTGGCGGCCACCAGTTTTGCCGACCGCGTACTAGGGTCGGGGCGGCCCACGCCCGTTTTTTTCTGTTCCGACAAGTTTTGTATGGCACGAGCTGCAGTACTCTTTTGATTTTCCAGCATTCGTGCTTCAGCAGTGCCGTGCAAGCTTCTGGCCGTCGTTTTTTTAATCCATTTTAAAGAAAAGCTTTGTTGCTCCGACGAGACAAGTACCGGCGAGATTTCGTATACGCCATCCGGCTGTAGAGCGATCCGCATGGTTTCCCGAAACTCAGGTTGCCAAGCCATTAAGTCCGCCTGATACACCTCACCATTCTCGTTGCAGTCCTGTAGAACGGCTTTCACGAAGCTCTTGTCGGGTTGCTCTTTATTTTCCTTCTGACGGATCTCTACCACGCGTGCCACGACTGTCACTGCGCACTCTGGCAGACAAGCGGTCATTTCCAAGGTCGAGCTTGGAGGCCGGTGTGGGATGTCCGTCGCCGTTTTGCCTGGCCAATCCGGCACTGGTTCCGCCTTGTCGCAATCTGCAGATTGCACTTCCATAAGTTTGTCGAACCGAATCATCCAGCGGCACCCAGACAAGGTGAATTTATTCTTGTCGCTGCGGCGGACTGCGAGCGTAGCCTTCGTGATCGACACCAGCTTACCTTCTTCGAAGAGTTTTGTTGCCGGAACCAGCAACTCCCGCCAAGCTTCAACCTGAACCAAGTGCTTACGCGTCGGACCACACAGAATGTAACAGGAAAACAGCAGATCAGTGACCTCAATCCCGACGACTCGTCCCAACAGGCGACTCGTCGCATTCATTCGCCCGGCTTGACTCAACTCCAGGGGCGACACGACCATGGCGCGCTTGCCACCAGACATCGCGGCCCACAACGACGCACGAATGTCAAGCAGCGAAGTACTTAACATGCACTGGTTGTGTCCACAGATCTAGCCCGTCGTGATATTGCATGCAAACATACAGTTTAGACCATGATCTATATGTCTACGATCTACATACAGCATGGCTACCAAACACCACCCCAACGCGAACCGTAACGTCGCACGTCAGATGGCGATTCAGAGTTAAAGTCGACTGTTGTGTTTTCGTTGATCGGTTCTTGAAACTGTGGTGATATCATCATTGTATATCGTTACAAACACAAAGCATGACTTTTATTTTGGTGTGTAATCAGAGGTGCAGTTGAGAAAAAGCAACGGATATGCAGACAAGAACGATTGCAACGACATGATAGCTAATCACACATCAATCCGCTGTGAGAGTTGTGCATGAGTCTATCTGAGAAACTAGTTCGAAACGCAAAACACTGGAAGAGATCCGTATCAGCAATCAACCAAAACCAAGCAGCTTGGGAAATGATGCGGATGATAACAAAGGACTGCTGTAACCATGGACGTAATTCAACTCTTCCCCGTGCTCAGGGTCGGCTGCGACCATCGCGTTTGACGTTTTGAAACTGCATGGTTTGACACCTTGCAACACTCTCCATTTTTTTTTCGTGCGCAGATGTCGGGACTCCCCTGGAAGCTCTGCGCACCGTCACACCGTCAGCAGAGAATAGTTGGCTGGATGTCTTGCAGAGATGCAGTCCATAACGACGTACAACCCTTGCAGAACATGTTGCGTATTCATCGCAATGTTGCAGCCCAGAACGTCACACAGCTGTTGTCATGTGGCTATTGCGGTGACAAAGGTATTGATGTCCGTCCAGCCAGAAGAGGAGACTTCCACGACCAGAGGCAACACAGGCGGTCGACCGCTGCCAACCCAAAGCGTTCGCAAGCTTCGCTTGAATGGAATGTGCTCTCGACAAGCAGGCGTGTGCGAATGCAGCAGTCCGCATGACGTCCACACCTGAAATGTTCGTCTTGCTATGGTATTGCCACCGTTCGTTTGAACCTGTTCTACGATCTTTTGCTTCAGGTCGTCGACGCAGTAAGCAGCTAACAGGTGGGACGGATAGCTGCATGTCAGGCAGCGTTCATCAGGTCCCCACAGATAGGCTCGTGGCACTAAAGGTAACAAAGGCAGAAGTTCCACAGTAAACGTGACAGATGGCGACATGGGGGCAGTAGCCGCCACCGGCTCCGCATCTGCGTTGTCTCTCGTCTGACTTCGCGAACGTGATCTAGCGCGCCTGCCGTGGCAGTATCGGTCCAAATGTTCGCGTAGGTGCGACATGGCGTTTTGCCGCTCGAGGTGTACCGCGGGTCACGCTATCTCGGCCGTAACCAAACTGCTTATACACTTCAAATGTTACCATCATATGTCTTGGTTGGCGCGCCCCTTGTGAGGTTGCTGATGTCCTTCAACACTGAAAGGAATGTCGGTTCTGATTGACATCCTCCTGAAATGTGACACGCATGGTCATCATGAACTGAATTTAAACAACTGCAGGAAAGACAACCGCGCAACGCGCGTGACTTAAGCTTGGGTGAACCAACCATTTTGAACATCCATTACCTTGGTGGATCTAGAGGCTCTACCCCACCAAAGCACTGTTAGCACTCAAATACTCAGATGTCGGAGAGGTTGTGGAAAGCCCACACAATGGCACTCAACCTGGCCTTTTCCTAAGTATTTTCCTACCATTCCCTATTCATTGCCACCCACAGAGCTCTCGAGAGAAAGTACCGTGAGAGCAAGGTGGTCCGGTCGACACTAGTTGTGCGTGCAACTACGCTGCACAAAAAGGTTGGCAGCAATTGCCCAAACGGCATGATGCCTTAAATAACTGCAATTGGCATGTCCAGCAAAAAGTTTTCAGGGAAATACCGCCAAGCTCGGACTGGCTTTTGGAAAGGCTAGGCCAAATGTAGGAAGTAGAGGCTGCTAAGCTTGGGTGAACCAACCATTTTGAAGATCCATTACCTTGGTGCAGCAATTGCCCAAACTGCATGATGCCTTAAATAACTGCAATTGGCATGTCCAGCAAAAAGTTTTCAGGGAAATACCGCCAAGCTCGGACTGGCTTTTGGAAAGGCTAGGCCAAATGTAGGAAGTAGAGGCTGCTAAGCTTGGGTGAACCAACCATTTTGAAGATCCATTACCTTGGTGGATCTAGAGGCTCTGTCCCACCAAAGCACTGTTAGCACTCAAAGACTCAGATGTCGGAGAAGTTGTAGAAATCCCACACAATGGCACTCAACCTGGCCTTTTCCTAAGTATTTTCCTACCATTCCCTATTCATTGCCACCCAAAGAGCTCTCGAGAGAAAGTACCGTGAGAGCAAGGTGGTCCGGTCGACACTAGTTGTGCGTGCAAGTACGCTGCACAAAAAGGTTGGCAGCAATTGTCCAAACTGCATGATGCCTTAAATAACTGCAATTGGCATGTCCAGCAAAAAGTTTTCAGGCAAACACCGCCAAGCTAGGAATGGCTTTTGGAAAGGCCAGGCCGAATGTAGGAAGTAGAGGCTGCTTCAAGATGTTTTAAGATGTTTTAAGTTCCTAAAATTGATTCCAAAACCTAATTATAAGCTGGTATCTTGACGGGCTGGATGATGATTTTCGAATTCCAACATGCATAATCGTATACCTACCCCCCTCATAAATTATTCTTGAAAATTATTCCAAAAGAAATTAATCCATAACCTAGTTGATACCCTGGAATAATTTCTTAAGGCATGGATCATCCAAAACATGGCAACATGAGAACTCATGGCAAATGCCAAGAAAAATCAGGCAGGCATTGCGGGACAATCGTGAGAAGCAAACGTGATCATGATGTCTCCATAAAAAAAGGTCAAAACAAGCCAACCAAGACGTTGGAAGACGTTGGAAGCATCATCCGCCACGATAGTTATGCAAGTACCAGCAAGTACCATGGAAAATGCGTATAGCCTTCATGTGATCATCGGAACCGAAAGTTAACAGCCCCATCCCCCCAAAAAACACGAAAACATGGTTATCAGAACACTGATAGAACCGAAGGTTATCAACCCCATCCCCCCAAATATATGGTTAGACATCGTCCGTAACAACATATCAACTTGAGCTACCTTGCCCAAAGTAAGGCTGCGACGAAAACTAAGACAAAATGATGCCGTTTGTTAGGGGTTCCATGCTGCAACACTTGGTTGAAGTCCTGCCTTGCCGCCTGCTGTCAGTTTTTTACCCCTTCGGAAAACCATTGCTCTCTGGAGTCACAGAAAAAAATGATGCATGAGGACTGGCGTTTACAAGATGTCCTGCATGGTTCCGCAGAAATCAATGCAGTTAGACGTTCCTGCACACAGCATATACGTCTTGCGCGGTCCGTAACGACGCACGCAAGACAACATGGAAGGCACACAGCATGGACGTCTTGCGCGGTCCGTAACGACGCACGCAAGACAACATGGAAGAGTCAGCCGGCGTGCGCAGGCGCAGGTGGGTGTGCAGGTGCCAGCGGTGGCGGTTCTAGTCCCGCGACCCACATCTCCGGCAACGGCACCTGACCAGTCACGACTGCAACCAAAATACGCGCCTGGTGTGGTTCCAGACATTGTACCGCCCACCTTCGTCTTGCTGACCATGATCCAGGTCATCAAGAGGTCCGCCGCATTGGCGTCGAGCAACCGAGTGCATTGCCGCAATTTGGCAGAATCATCCTGGCCCACCAGAGTGTCCCAGCAAGCCTCACAGATGCCAGTCCTTTCGTGCTCAAAACGTCCCGCGTGCGAAACTGTGCGAGGTGCCTGGCATGCAATGCATTGCGTCACAGTCAAGACGGCCGGCACCCTCAGGTGTTCTCGCATACAAGTTTTAAAATTCTGTAGCAGAGGGTCCGTAATCGGAACAAACCCAGGTACCGCCATGGCTTGGGCGAGCAGTCCGTAACGACGTACTTCGCCAACTGCAGTCGATGGCAGTTAGTCTGACTGTGAAAAGTCATGTGCATCGATATTTCCGAAATGACTAAGAACCTGACTGATGTAGACATGATTGCCCGTGAATACCGTGAGCATGCATCGACATAATCATGGAATCATGCAAACAGGACATATGTCATCTTCTTATCATGTATTGCTTACGCACGCAAGGTTAGCGCCAAGAGCAAAGACAAACACGGGTCATCAACATCTCACGCAGCTTGCAGCTTTCGAATGGCACCACTTCAGAAACTCAAAAACATAAAGAAACAGGTCCTCTTTCATTCGCTACATCTACATCTTTGACAAAGTCTAGCACCATGAAGTGTCACGATCATGATGTCCGAATTGCAAAAAGTTCATCACCAGGGTAAAAACATCATCATCCAAAGACGGCTTGACTTCAATGTTTCTAGCTCACTATGTACGGATACCATGTAGTGAGAATCGATTATTTCTTGTGTTCACGTTACATAAGCACAAAATCAACTAGGCAACCACCAATGTTGACGTTCCAAGAACCAACCATCCCAAAACCGATATCTGCATTGTGAAACATGACAGACACGGACCCAGGGCGTCAAGGTGCTCAGCAAGCATTGCTTCGGTTTCCAAAACACCCGACCCGCTTCCCCCGTAACAATTTTTCACGCAACATAGCAAATCTTCTCGGCCGTTGTAAGTCAGCAGCTCCTAACAGCGTACTGACCTGAACGACACACACATGGTGGAGCATTGTTTCTTCAACAACCAGCAGCTCGTAACAGCGTACTGATCATGCTTTGTTGCTACGAGGGGTCGTGCTTGGTGGCTTGTTCAAATTCAAAAGTAAGGTTTCAAATTCTCGCTGCGCGTGGTTTTGCGCACGCACCAAGTCTTTGATGCTTTGACGCTCAGCGGCACTGAAGCATCGATACTCTTCCTCGTCCGGACATGGTGCTTGTGCCTCAAAAGCCGTCTGTTGCAACCGGGCTCGCCACTCCTTGGAATAGAAACGTGGAAACCATCGGGGCTGGTGAAACAACTGCAGTCGTCGCTCCGGGTTCAAATGGTATTGCTCATTTTCAGGGCATTGGTAACCTATTTTCTCCAATAAGGACTGAATGAAACCCAAGCCATCCTCGCCCCGCGCGTCAGATGCGCGACCGCGGCGTGCCATGTCGGCGCGCTGCAAGTACTGGAAAGCGTGCACCATCAGCTGTCTGGCGTGTTTCTCATTTAAGCCGTGTCGCAGATTGCAAACTGCCCCGCACCCGCACATTTCGAGATTTTGAAAGCACGGCATTGTCTTGTGGGTTTGCTGCTGACAAGCCATTGCGACCAAATATATACGATCGTCATCTTCGTCTTGAAATCTCTGCACACGACATTTGTCTCCCCAAGCAGTGTGCACTGCCAAAGTGTGCCATTTCTCAGTGACCTTGTATCTCTTCTCCACGACCCTCTGTTGCCATCCTTCTCCAGCTTGAAATTTCACGCCGCAGCCTAACAAAAAGTCAAGAACCGAAACTCGGAAGGTTCTGGCATGAACAATTTCGAACGCAAGGAGACGTCCGACGTGATACTCGAAGTGTGCTCGCAAATGTGGATGCATCACATTATCAGGTCGCAGCGACGACATGAAGAAACCACCGAGAATTTGATATTGCACTGCAGCAAGACAGTTCGCAGTCTCGCTCTCAGCCGCTGGTGCGACCGGCTCATCGGCTACTGCGCGGGTCGTAACACCGCACGCACTAGGCAACCACCATGGTCTTGGCAACCGACTCTCAGCAAATGTCCTGCACAAGTTTTTCTCAAAGTCACGTCCCAACAGTTCATCAAGCATCAAATCATCCGGTACACAAGCCCCATCCCTCCTGTGATGCACTTCGGATCCGAAGGAGTCGCGGAAAATTTCGGTGCACTCATGCACTTCCAGAAAAACATGCGTGTCTCTGACCAAGTTATGCCTTCTGACCTCAGGCGCTTGACCATCGTTCGCTCCCCACGTTGCCTCGAAGCCCGGTGCAGACGATCGCAAAGGTTGCAAAACACGCGGATACGCTAAACCAAACTCACATGAGACAAGGGTATCGTGATACAGCCAAAACCGGTGTTCGGGCATTTCTGGGGCTACACGCATGCAATCTCGCTGATAGCGTTCTGCTATGACGCGCAGTTCATCTGCAAACGACATATCACTACTGGTTCCAGTGGGTCCGCCGTTTGGCACCCCTATTGTGCAGCAATACTCTTGACAGAACGGACGATCCGATTGTCGGTGAATAATGTCCTGCATTTTCATCCACCACGCTTTGGGCGCAACTCGTCCTTTTGTCAACAACAAACCAAAACAACCGGTTCCCCAAACATTCGGTTCCACAGGCTTGGCCAAGTATAAGATATACAAATAACGTGCCACAAGCTCCTGCATATCCAGCGACAGCTTCTGCTTGAAGTGCTCACCAATTTTGTGCAAGAACAAAGCAGAGACACCAAATTGAATCAAGTGTTCCGAGTCCACTAGGATAGAAAGCATATGCAGAAAGATATAGAATTGCATCTCCTGCAGCGGAGAAACAAAGGTTCGTTCCTCCGGAAACGGCAAGCCGCTGTTGCGAATCAACTTATAGATTTCTACAAGCTCATCTTGTACATCAGGCTCTTCTACGAGAGATCGCGCAGCGTTCACCAAATCCGCGGAAGCTTTGCTTGCCGCAACACGAAACTTCTGGCGATGTCCGTCAGTAACTTGCAGCAAGCAATCCCGTTGAGCGTCGTCTTCCGTCAACTTCACCTGTTGAAATGACAACAATGCTTTCAATTCCAAATCGACTTCCAGTCGCCAATGCACATCGTCTGGCACGCGCTTCACTTGTGGATCATCATCGGAAAACCTGACTTTATGTTTCTTCGTCTCCGCCTGTCTTTCTTTTTTCTGCAACAAAGATCGGCCGACAGACCCCTTGATTTGCGGCATAGCCTTCGGAGAAGGAGCAGTCCCCAAAGACGTACTCCTTGCCGCTGCTGCTTTCTTCGACGAAGGAAGCGTTTGACTGGACGAGGCAGAATAAGATTGAGAAGCAGTGCCGGACGAACCCGCAGCTCCACCGCTGGTGTCTTCGGCAACGAAATCTTCGTCTGAATCGTCATCGCAAAGGTCTGCCCACGCAGGGCGCTTCCGAACTGCAGTTGCCGTTTGTGGCGGATCGCCCTGCTGGCGCTGAAGTGCTTCAACCACAGGAGCAAACCAGAATGCAATGTTCTTGGCCCAGTGTCCTCGGGCTTCCGTACATAAACTACAGTCATATGGCCACAGCGGAAAGCAACCTTGTCGAACAAAAAAATGCCAGCTACGCAAAAAATTGCGATCAGATATCTTCATCACGAAGTTAAAAAGGCACCGTTCCAAACCATGAAACAGAGTTCGCAAGCCGTCAGCCAGTGGGGGTAAACGCATCTCATTCAAACACCTCTGCACGTCCAAAGCTCGTGCGTCACCTTCGCCGCCGAAGCGATCCAAGTAGAATCCATCCGTGCATTCAAAAAAAAGAAATTTTGCCGGCCCGCGTCGCGCAAAGAACCGCGTCCAGCCAGCACCAATGTCAGTTAAGCAACGAGAATGCTGGCGGGTATCGGACTCCTCTCCATGAAGGTCTCGCTCAACCCTTGGACCCGCAACCCACTCAAAGTTGATGACGATGTCCAGATTAAGCACCGCTTTCAAAATGTGGAGAAAAAGTGCGACAAGCTTTGCCACGTACATACTACGATGTTTTCCCTGATAGCACATAAACAATAAATATGCATCCGTTACTTTTTGATTGCCCGCTTGTCCGAGGCGTCGGAACCACACCAAGAACACGGACAAAATCAACAAAGTATAATCTTGCAAGGGGTCCAAAGCTTGCTTTCGTTTGAAGGCATTCATAATGCACAGGCCATCCAACGTATGACGAGCCACTTGATTCACACGATTGGATTTCAACAAGTGCATCAGCGAAACCAAGAAAAAACTCGCACTTGCAGGGGACGAGCGCACACGTTCCGCGAATGGATTCAGCGGCACGTGGCGATTGAAATCCGTGTGGACCTCCGGGTGTGCAAGATCGGTGCCGCCCAGCACGCAAATGTGCAGCTTTTTTGGTAGGTCTGGAAAGTTAGTCATAGGCAGGAGCACAAACACGTCCACCAGAATTTTCAGTGCGTCCACAGTGTCAACCCGCCACTGGTCTTCCATGGCGACAGGACAGAAGCGAGGATGCAACGCGGGCCACAACGCCGCACGTCGCACACGCTCCACTACAACAGACAACAAAAAAAGGTGATTGAATTTGAAATGGTCTCGATCAACAATACTTGTAAAAATTATTTTTTCACCTATATCCAACATGCTGCTACACATATGTTAGCCAACGCGGACCGTAACGTCGCACGTCGGGTGTCCCTTGCAAACTCCATGATGCATGCGTTAAAAAAAACAAGTGATGATTTAAAACATGACATACTATGATTTGGGTCTTGCCGATAAATTTGATCGCATATGCATGACCGACACAAACGGCAGCGGTAACGTTGCAGAGCTGAAACTAGACAACCACTACCAGACAACATCAGAAAGTTAATCTAAGAGATCAAAATTCACCATAGTCGAAGTAACGAAACAATTACACATACCAACTAGGGTCCAAGAAATACGAAACGCACTTGCTCATCCAAATGGTAGATCCCCAACCAACCATGTCATCCCAACAGGGGTCAAATGAACACGAAACATACCATCTCCGTTGCACACGCTCCACTACAACAGACAAAAAAAGAAGGTGATTAAATTTGAAATGGTCTCGATCAACAATACTTGTAAAATTTATTTTTTCACCTATATTCAACATGCTGCTACACATATGCTAGCCAACGCGGACCGTAACGTCGCACGTCGGGTGTCCCTTGCAAACTCCATGATGCATGCGTTAAAAAAACAAGTGATGATTCAAAACATGACATACTATGATTTGGGTCTTGCCGATAGATTTGATCGCATATGCACGAGCGACACAAACGACAGCGGTAACGTTGCAAGGCTGAAACTATACAATCACTACCAAACAACATCATAAAGTTACTATAACAGATCAAAATTCACCATAGTCAAGGGAAAGAAACAACTACACGTACCAAGTAGGGTCCAAGAAATACGAAATGCACTTTGTCATCCAAATGGTAGATCCCCAACCAACCATGTCATCCCAACAGGGGTCAAATAACCACGAAACATACCATCTCACCCAGCTTGCGGTCTGATGTCTGGAAAAGGAAATGGTCCATAAAATCATACTTTCAACAAACCACAAAAATCCAACCCATGCTGCACAAAGCATTAGCAGGATCTTAGTGAGATCCTTGCATTTACCCGCTCCCACGACAGCATGCTTTTTTCACATGTATGCAATACGATCATGGTTTTTTGTGCGGTTCGTAACAACGCACACAGAAACCAAAAGTAAGTGACAGAAGCATTCTGCGGTTCGCAATTCAGGGCACAGAAATTCAGACCCGGATGCGGTTCATAACAACGCACACCCAGCTTACTGCAGTCAAACGAGAGTTGGTGCCCTTTCCTGTCTGCGCTTCATCTCATCATCAACAAACTCTGGTTCAAAGGACCGCACAGCTTCCCAGAGATGAAGGTATTGTCTGCGGAGAACTTCGTCGTCCGACTCTTTGTCGTCCAACCACGTACTGTTGCTGTGCAAGATGTTGAGCCATTCTGCGCACTGCGCTTTAGTTCCGTGGCGACGCAAAGCGTACCAGAGACTTCGGCTTTCTCCAATGGCGGCAATCTGAGCTTTTTGCGTCCTGGTCATTTCAGCACGTCTTTGCAAACTTCTATTGTAGCTATCCTGGCCCTTTGCTAAGCGCAAGATGTCAGCCGAGGACATTTGGTGATAGCCGTGCACATTCACCACAGGTGGCTGCACGCTTGCAGCCGTGCTCCCATGACTTGAATCGAGCATGATGGACGCGGAACACAACTTCGCACGTCCAGTTCTGGGCGGAAAGAAAGGTGCTACTGTGGCTTCTGAATGTCGACATCAAAGCTGATCCTGTTTGTTCATTGTTATCATCAGTATTAACAGCTTCTCACTGATAAATATTAGTATGGAACTATATGTGCGTCCATGATAAAAGGTAGCATGCATGCATGATTTTGAGCTTCAAAGTTAGCGTCCGAAAATAAAACGCTTCCGGTTATGGTCAAACGAAAATGTGCCGCTGCTATGTCATCCCACAAGTTATCGCATGTCAAAGGAAATGATAGTCTTTTGATTCATGCGACTCATGTCATGTCGGCTCATGTCATACTACATTGAACTGTCTCATGGCAGACATGAATACACACAGACAAACAGACATACAGACAGACAGGCTGACAGACATACAGCGCATCGTTCATGTCTTTGTGGCGCGTTTTATACATCATCGTTTGATATCTGCAACACACAACCCGCGCTACGCACGCAACGCGACCGACAAGACGACGCAACTTGACTACCAACGCACACGCCACATGCGTGAGACCAAAGCAGAAACGCACTCGATGCGCCGCACGGACACGCCACGGTCTAGAGGTCAACATTAAAGCTCACTAAATACATCGCTACCGACGAAATACGGCACTATACACTCGACTACGTCTCCAGTGCGCTATCAACAACAATACTGCTCAATGACGACGCAACTCACATCACGCACACGCACGCGCACACGCGACGTGATCGCACCTGCTCGGTATTCGTTCATCCACACGCTCCGAACTCCCAAGCACAAGCGCAAACACGCGCGATGACTCATCTGACTCACTCTCCCTCTCCGAGTAATTAACCACGCGGAAACGGCTAAGCTTCGATAAAATTTTAGCAATCATCGTTGATATCTGCTTATGTTACGATTAACCGCGCGCAAACACTTTGTACTAGATTTCCATCTATCTGCACTCCCAATATAAAGAAAATATCACGAGCAACACAAAGCCTGCACAATACGCCGACTCTCATTAGCGCTACCGCGCTAACGACGCACAACCAGAAAAAACTCAAGGTGACACGCGATGAACACAATCATACAGACACATAACCTTTCACACATCCTTTTTCTGTCAGAAGTTGATTGTCGTGGTTCGGAGACACAAGTCGTATGGAAAAACACAGCTAGAGCCAGCTGGAGCTAGAGCTACTTGGAGGTAAAGCGAACTGGAGCTCAAGCTAACGTATGTTATCATGCATGCACATACAGACATACAGACAGACAAACAGACAGACAGACATACACTCATACAGACAGACACACACATAGATGGATACCGAATCACACAGACACATACAAACACATATACAGACCTACCTACCTACGTACATACATACATGTCATCTCAACTCATCTTATTACGTCGAACTGTCTCACACAAGGAGGTGGACACACAGGTTCAAAACAAAATGTTCTTCCATCAGCAAATCTGTCATTTGAAACAAAGTCACAACATTCCACAGTGATCAAACAAGTCCTAATTGCGACACTGACATGCATCTCTGTCCAAACTTCAAACTCTTTTTTGCCGTTCGCAGAGAAATTCCTTGCAAGCGTTGCAGCTCGTAACAGCGTACAACGCGTCGTCCGTAAACTTGGGTCTTTCATACGGTAGCGTTGCAGCACGTAACTGCGTACAACGCATCGTCGCTTTGAAACACGGCGCTAGGTCACTACCTCCGGGTAGAAACAGAACTCAAAAAACTGGCCCTAGAGACATTCGAGCTGCGAGAAGCCACGTCCCCTTCTCTTTTCTGAGCAGAATTTTTTTCAACATCATTCAGTCGATCCACTGGCCAGTGCGTGTTTTCTGCCATCGCGCGAAGAAAGAGTGTGAATTCCTCAGGTGATGCTTTAAAATGTTTTGTCAAATTTTTGTACAACTTCTCGTCTTTCTCTGCTGTCAGGCTATAGACCTCGCTATGTTCTGGCAACACTCCGTCACGAGGACGAAAAACAAACTCCTGGTTCTCTTGCAAAAATTGCTGTAAAGCTTGCTTTGCAGCCGCAACCGTGTGGAAGCCGTGTTTGTTTTTCCCCTTTTTCCCTTTCCCTTTGCCATCACCTTTTCTATTTACTTTACCTTTCTGTTGAACATGAAAGCCATGCATCTGTCCGCCGCCACCTTTCCCCTTTCCTGCGCCCTTGTAAACACCTTGCGGCGGTCCATGAAAGTGAAAGTTCAGGCCGTCAGGGTACGGCGGAGGCACAGGCGGAGACATGTGTTGCGCAACGTCAAGCCAGCTCCGGCCCGTTGACTGATTGCTCGTGGTTTCCCAGCCGGTAGCCCACAACGGCGTGCCGGTCTCGGATGACGTCGGCGTTTGCGCAGCTGAGCTGCTCCTGGTGCCCGGGTGGGCCCGTCCGAAGTCTTCTATCACTGCCCGCACGGTGGCCGCCGACATCCGACCTTCACGGTACGAGTTCACAAGCACTCGTAGCTCCATACGAGCACTCTCGTCCAAAAAGTTTTGCATAGCAGCAGCCAGACCCAGGATCACCTCCATGTCGTCCCTTTCCGCATTTCCGCCCATGGCTGTCCGCGGGTCACAACACCGCACGAACAATCTGACTACGAGTTGCTGCTGTCAGGTGCTTCTTCGTCGAACGCCTATGGAAACAAACATAATGATGAGATTCACATCCTTTTGATCGAAGACAATAAGCGTGTCCGTGGGTCAGAACACTGATCTTCGTGAAATTCACATCCTTTTGATTTTCGAACAATGGAACCACAAGTTGCAACTGAGTCCGTAGTTCAAGTACTTGAAACAGAAACATGTGTTAGCGATACCATTTCTCGAATGCATATGTACCAAAAAAACATCATGTTTGTTTCTGTTAGTCTTAACACATGTGTAGGAAAAAATACCATGTCTGTTTCTGTGAGCCATAACAAACCGCCGTGTAACACTGATACTACAGCCACAACCAAGAACACTAACGCCGCGACTTCTACTTCCCATTGTCACTACCAGGTCTGTCCCTCCTCAAATGATCAACACTGAAAAATTTTTCAAGGGGATTGAACCGTTTTGGTTGGGTGGGGGGGAAGCGTCAGGGTACCATACACTGGGAAAGCTCAAGGGGATTCAACCCTTTAGGTTAGGGCGAGGGGGAGAACCATCAGGGTACCATACAGGGCTCTTTCATGAG